AATATCTCTGTCTTATCCGAGTTTAATAGGAGAAAATTATTGGTCATCCAATCTTTTACATTTTTAACACATTCTGTTAGCTTAGATAATTTAGAAGTTTCGTCTGGTCTTGTTGAGATATATAGTTGAGTATCATCAGCATAACAATGGAAACTAATTCTGTATTTTCTAATAATATTACCAAGGGGCAACATGTATATTGAAAATAGCAGAGGACCTAAGACAGATCCTTGTGGCACTCCATACTTTACTGGTGATAATTGAGATGACTCCCCATTTAAATAAACAAAGTGGTAGCGATCGGACAGGTAGGCTCTAAACCATCGTAAAACCTGCCCTTGAATACCTGTATAGTTTTGTAATCGATCAACGAGTATGTCATGATCTAGTGTCAAACGCAGCACTAAGATCAAGTAAAACTAGCAATGAGATGCAGCCTTGATCTGACGCAAGAAGCAAGTGTCTGGAAATTCCCAATATTAATCTGACTTCACCACGGACAAGTCAAACAACTACAGTTGTTAATATAATAACTACAGTATCTTGGGCTAATTCCCTGAATTCCCCGAATACTTACAATATAATCCAATACTTCCCTGAAGTATGGTGACGGCATCCCGTCAAGAAGCTATTATCACTACCTCAATCACACATAAGCACACAGGTCTTTAGCATCTATACACTCTCACCGCCTTTCTCAGCTGTACGCTGTTACCTCAGCCCGAGGACGGCTCTATAGTCTTCCAACACTATCACTGTCTTTGCGGTGGTCTTTTTCTCTCTCACCGCCTCAGCTGTACGCTGTTACCTCAGCCCGAGGACGGCTCTATAGTCTTCCAACACTATCACTGTCTTTGCGGTGGTCTTTTGAGCGTAGAATCTTTAGTACTTCTATTCCTCAGCTGTGCAGCATATACCAGACACAACTCCCAAGTTGCTCTTTGCAGGAATGAAAGTTTATTCACGGCCGGGAGCCCACTGGTCACAACAACCATCGACTTCCTGAACAGAAGGATACATGAACATTTATACCTTGTAGTTGAGTAAAAATCAATGTCACTCAAGTCTTCTTCACTTCATTGGTTATACTGATCTGGTCATTGGTTTGTCATATGACTGTTGGTTCTACTGTTTTAAGCACTTTTTGGGTAAGTATAGATTACTTAATCATAGGGACACGGTCTTTGATCTGAGTATTCTTAGTCTGCACTTTTCTGAACATTCTATGTGAGGCCATTACATAAAATATTTCCATCACACAAGTCATTTGTAATTTTAACAAGTGCAGTTTCTTTGCTATGGTGGGGCCTATACTGAAATTCTTCAGAGATCATTTTTTTTGTAGGAAAGAGCACAATTGAGCAGACACAACTTTTTCTAAAATTTTAGACATAAACGGAAGATTTGAAATGGGTCTGTAATTTGCCAGTTCACTAGGATCTAGTTGTGGTTTCTTAACAAGAGGCTTAATAACCGCCCGCTTGAATGGTTTTAGGACGTGACCTAAAGATAACGACGAGTTAATAATATTGAGAAGCGGTTCTTCTGCTACAGGTAACAACTCTTTCAGTAATTTAGTGGGTACAGGATCTAACAGGCATGTTGTTGGTTTAGATGCAGTGATAAGTTTATTTAGCTCTTCCTGTCCTATATTTGTAAAGCACTGCAGTTTTTCTTTGGGTGCGATGAATGAAGCTGAAGTACTAGATGCTGTAGAATCTAAATTTGTTATTGTATTTCTGATGTTATCTATTTTATCAGTGAAGAAATTCATAAAGTCATTACTATTAAACTGTGAGGGAATATTTAGATCGGGTGGCGTCTGGTTATTTGTTAATCTAGCCACCGTGCTAAATAAAAACCTTGGATTGTTTGCGGATTGAGTTTGCGGATATGCTCGGTCCTGGCAGCTTTTAGAGCCTGTCTATAGCTGGACATACTGTTTTTCCACGCAATTCTAAAACAATTCTTAATATTTTATAAGATTCTTAATATTTTTGAAATATTATTACAATTTAAAATAACAGTTTTTTTATTTCAACATATTTTACAATCTTTAAAGTCTGTGATGGAAAGCTAAATTTTCAGCATCATTACTTCAGTCTTCACAGTGTCACATGATCCTTCAGAAATCATTCTAATATAATTATTCGGTGCTCAAGAAACATACACAAAACCGTTGTGATGTGTAATAGTTTTGTGGAAACTGTGATCCATTTTTTGATGAATAGAAGGTTTTAAAAAGAAGAATAGCATTTATTTGAAATAACGTTTTGTGACAACTTTTGTGACATTCTTAATGTCTTTACTGTTACTTTAATCCTTGCTGAATAAAAGTATTAATTTCATAAGAGAAAAAAATCTACTAACCCCAAACTTTTGAACAGTAGTTTATTTTCAGTAAAGAACATTCTTATTAAGAACCATTGAGAAACGTTATATAAATATAGATACATTATAGGTTTCATAATTTCTTCAGTTGGTTTTGGTACTATATACAGTAACACAAGTACACATATTGTTTTTAAAAAAAAAACGAAATAACTTTTTCATGGAACTTGAAATGTTCTCTGATGGTTATATAATTCTTATTGGTTCTAAATGGAATCTTTATTTAAAGAATGAAGAGAAGCCTTTAAGCAGAATGCAGTGACGCAGTTGATTTATCTCTGTGAGTATGAATACCAACCTCAGACAGGACTTGTTTGTTTGGTAAGATGTATTTATGATGTCTTGCCATTATTCAAAAGCACAAGCACTTTAAGTATTTATGTTCTTTCACTCATCTACAAAACAGTATATTCAAATGAGTTGTCCTTGAATGTGTTATTTGATTATATATGCATACAGAAGTGCCTGAAGGTGTTGTTATTTTGTTGAAGGCCAGACTCTCACCTGTAGGAGGAGCTATGGCTCATAACATGTGCTATTACTAGGAGCAGTGAAGATTAGATATATTTCCATTCTGTCCTTATTTACAGTCCATATTAGCACACGGGGGTTAGAGCACTTAGGACAGTTACAGTGTGATTGAATAAAAACATAACATACATTGAAATATTTGTAAGTTTCTGGTCTTTTTTGAAACGCAGGAGATTGTCAATAAGGTTTCCTCATCCTAGTTTGAATGCACATCAAGCAGCATCTATGAGGTTAGATGCAGCAGAGAAGGGAGAGGGAGCAGATAGAGGGAGAGATAAAGAGAGAGAAAGTGAGTGAGTGTTTGCATGTGTGTGAGAGAGCGGGGGGAGCAAAGAGGAAAAGAGAGAGAGAGAGAAAGAGAGAGAGAGTGCAAACACAAGGATAGCAGGCTTGACATATACATATTCGCAGTGAACAAACAGAAATCCTAATGCCAGAGAAAGACAGACGAAGCCAGTGAGAGAAGAAGGTCACCTCTAGAGCAGTGAAGGAACGGTACGTCAGCTTCACTCTGTTTATTGTGACCATAAAGTCAGGGCTAAGTTAGGTTTCTTGAGTGCATGAAGCATCTGTTGGAAAGTATTTGCAGCAAAATTGATTTCAGTGCATTGCAAATAGATTGTAAATGAAATGTCTTTGAACCTATAGACCCTCATGCACGCTCCTCTGATAAGTCTTATTTGTCCTTGGGAAATGATATGCAATGTTGGCACTTCACAGGGGGGTCATACCTGAAGACTGAACTCTGGAAGTCTGGAAATGGGAATTCGGGAGGTCCTACTTTAAACGGAAGAAGACATTTTGATGCCAAACCATTGAAAGACGACCAGGGAACACAGCATTACTGAGAGTCACAATGGAGAAACTCTCTGAAAAAGATAAAGGTCTGATCCGGGACAGCTGGGAGAGTCTGGGGAAGAACAAGGTGCCACATGGAATTGTTATGTTCACGAGGTAATATATCAATCTCAATGCATGCTGGCTAAAACTGTTTTGCAGCAAGGGATAATGCTATTTAATTTAGTCTGCATGTTTATTTAGAAAGTTGCAAGTAGAGCTGTGCGGATCATGTACATATACGCTGCTTTTGTGGGACAGATGCATTTGTCAAAAATAGGAATTTAATAAAATAATTATATTCAGTAATGAATAATGCATTTAAAATAATGAACTATTTTTAAAGTAAACACATTTTTAGATTTTTAAGCAAATAAATCGCACTTAATCATGCAATCAAAATGGAGTGTCCTTGCATTCCATAACTACACATTGTACTCATCATGAAGGTATAGCAATTTAATGAACAAACTAAAGTGCAATGTCTTTAAATCCATCAAAAAATCTCCACCAGTCTCCCGCTGTCTGTTCCTCTAACCGTAGCTCAGTAAGAAGCTTGACTTGTTGCTTGGCGACAGGGAGCAGCAAGATCATTTTCATCAGAATCACCTTCTCAGAAGAAAGATGCTACCAAGTATTACTTTCCTGAGTATTGCTTTTCAAACTCAGCATAAAGGATAAAAGTAACTTTATTTGAAAGAAGAGAGGATTTAAGCTACAAAGGAAAAAGGATATGCATTGTTCTGTTCAACATCAAATGGCTTAAATTACCTAATTTAATTATCCTTCTTGTTAAGGAAATGTGAAATAAGCAATTGTGGTTGAAGATCCATGTCAATTAACTGCTTTGTAGTGCTGCCTGATCAAATGTAACATTTCTTGTTAGGTTATTTGAGCTGGATCCAGCACTGCTTACTCTCTTCAGCTACAGCACAAACTGTGGGGATGCACCTGAATGTCTCTCCAGCCCAGAGTTCCTCGAGCACGTCACCAAGGTGAGCCCAGAGGTCAACTGTACAACAACTGGTAGAGTAAAAGTGCAGGAACCTACTTTTAGGCAGTTTCTCAATACATTTTCTTATGCTATCTTGTGTCCTTGTGTTTTCGCTCTAAATCATTATCAACTGCCAATGTTCAATTCCAATAATTGAAAAAAAAAAACATAAGTAAATAACTAAGTAAATGTTTCAATTATTGTGCATTAAATTGTGCTACTACTTAAAATGTGTTGGGGCGGTCAGTTGAGCAACAAGATCACAGCATATGCATCATATGCAAAAGATGCATTTTGTGTCCTCGTATCCATTCAAGTTCTTTTAAGGTAGCCTGGCAAGACCTAGTCTCACTTAGCCAGACCTTAAGAATGACGGCAGAAAGTCTGGGAACCTTGGCCGCTTTGAATGGCCAAGGAGCGCTGAAAGAGGCCATATGACTGACAGGTAAAGCAACCAATCACGTTTAGTTTTGTGCCACGTCATGTTTAGGGGCGAAAAAATGTCCAGACAATAACAGACCTTTGTGTGAAACTCTTGGACATATTTGAAAGAGTCTATGCCACAAAGTTTACAGATTTCATATACTTTTGAAAATCTAGCATTTAGTTGATCCTGATAAGCACTGATTGTCACAGTTGTAAACGCAACGGCTTTGTTCCTCCATGAGGGGGTTTGGAGCCACGGCATCTTTGCTTCCAGGCGGAACACACGTCCCATGGAAATTCTGTAGAATTCAACCAATCAGATGGTGGACGTGACGTCTGAGGCTGAGACTAGGCAAGACCAGTCTTCATGAGAGCACAAGGCTGTTCTTTGCGTTCTTAGAACTTAGAAACAGTCTTGGTGTGGCATTGTTGGTAAAGTAGTTGATGGGCCGGTAACTGAAAAGTTGGTTCCTCACAAAGAGTAAAGGATGTGTCTAGATGGACATTTTAATACTAATCCCCCACCTACGGCAAAATTGCCTAAAAGCTGCATTTGCTCCCATTATATGTCAAAAGTTATGTGTTGATATGTTTGGCTGTTGTTTGTTGCACCATAGAGCCACATGGTTCATTTAGGACCAGAGTGTCCAATCCTGTCCTGGAGGACCCTGTTCCTGCAGAGTTTAGCTCTAACCCCAAATAAACACACCTGAACTAGCAAGACATCCAAACAGTTGTGTTGGAACAGGATGAAGCTAAACTCTGCAGGAGGTGACTTTCCAGATTTTTGGACAGTTTTTGGACACCCCTGATTTAGGCTGTAATGATTCTTTCTATTGACTAACTTTGACCCAACCTCTGAGTTTACAGTCCAGCTCAAGACCGACTGTATATTTGTCCAGGTGATGTTAGTGATCGATGCAGCTGTGCAACCTCTGAGTTTACAGCCCAGCTCAAGACCAACTGTATATTTGTCCAGGTGATGTTAGTGATTGATGCAGCTGTGAGCCATCTTGATGACCTACATACATTGGAGGACTTCTTGTTGAACCTGGGCAGGAAGCACCAGGCAGTTGGGGTGAAGACTCAGTCCTTTACTGTGAGTACACTTTGCCTACATGGTTTAGTTATGATGACTGAAATTACATCCGTAACACTCAAAACGTCAAAGATGACAGTGAGATTGACAGTGATCTTCGGGGAGAGTCACAGTGATTTTCCAGACCATTGATTGATTGACTGGGTTCTTTCACATGTTCCTTAGATGGTTGGAGAGTCCCTGCTCTATATGCTTCAGTCCAGCCTGGGTCCAGCTTACACGACACCGCTGCGCCAGGCTTGGCTCAATATGTACAGCATCGTGGTATCAGCCATGACCAGAGGCTGGGCCAAGAATGGCGAACATAAGTCCAACTGAGAAGGAGGTAGATGTGAGATTCACACTGGAACACCCTTGAGGTCACAAACTAACTTCTCAAAAATCCTTTCAAAGAGTGAGGGGCTTGGATATGGGACCACCATTGGGAAAATCAGTTCAGCTGAGTTGTATTTTGGCTCACTGAACAGTCCTAACTTTGGTAGCTTGGTCTAACTGCAGACTGAGATTGTTGATAACGAAGCCTATGAGGTTGAAACTTCAAAAGCAAAATTTGCTTTGTACATACAGTAATGACTAAGTACATATAGTAATGACTAAATGTATTTCCTTAAACTATCTTTAATGACTGTCTTGATGTATTGATGTTTCATGCGAGCGTAAAACAGAGGTTTGACTATGCACATGTGAGCTTGGTCAACTTGAAAAAGTTTTATTCTGACGCCTCTTGGAATCAATTTAGATGAAGGCCTTTAAAGCCACTACAATTTAACCCTAAATTACACAGAATTAATACTCTTGCCTGTGCTGTGTGTAGTTTAAGTTTACTGTAAGTTTAGTGATGTTCACTAAGTTATCTGAGCATGAACATAGTAGTATTTGGCAATATGGTTCAAATGATAGCATCAAAGACAATAAGCAATCAGTAGCCATGATTTTTTGACACCATCCAAATGTTCATGTGAAATGTTGTTTGCCACATTTTTCAACCATTAACAGTATTTCTGGCGATGAAAGTAAATGACGAGAACTGTTACATCCGAAATAGCTTTTGGAATTTTTAGACTGTTAATTTATGAACCTGTGCCATGTCATTAGTTTACATTTCCATTGTATGGGATTATACTCGACGCACTCTACTCCAAGGCTTACTTACGAAAGACTTGTGTAGACTGTTACTTCACATAAAGTGACTGTTATATCATAGTGACTAGATGATTTGTTCACCTATAGTACAATTGTAGATAGTCAAAAAGTCTTTATGCTAAATGACCTGGTCCAGTGGGTGTTATGCCGAGTTCACACTGCACGATTATCAAACTCGTTGGATCGCCGTTGTTTTTACACTTCATGACTATCTGGGGTAGCAGTCAGTCGCTGCTGTGTTCACATTTCACGATGGATCGGCAACAGGAGGTTACACACTGCATGAAGAATCGCCGACAACTCTGTCTGGTCCGCAAACTACATTTCACAACAAACGCACGCGAGAAGTGATAAGGAAATAACGCGAGAACCCGCGTGCGTCAGACCGGAGTTCTCCAGCAAGACTGGAATTATAATATATGTAAATATAGCCCGCAAATTGTCTGTGAGCTGATTTCCAGCTACAAGGTGAAAAAGAAAAACAGATTATGCAGGAGGGAGATGCAGGGAACAGGGATTGGGTGTTCTGCAAAGAGAGTTGGAGGTAAATAATTTAGCAGTAACTGTTATGCTGATGTTGTGGCTGGTCAAGCAAATGTTTGTGCTTGTTTCTGTATGATATAATTATTCATATATCTATTAAAATACTGATATTCTGGTCTATAACTCCTCCCCGAACTTCCATCTGCCCGGTATCTTGTCTCTCATTGGCTGTAGGTCATCGCCGATTTGTTTTTCAGTCAGAAATAATTTCACACAGCGTGATTGTGAATCGCCGACAGCTCCAGATATTTACCATGCCAAATATTTTGCGGGCGTCGGCGACGTGTCAGCGATTCCCTCAGATCGCGTCTTTGATAATTCACACTGCATGATTGTCACTCGCGTGAACGAGCACCGATTTGACTCCGATTTCGCAAAACCTGTCGGCGAGTGAAAAATCGGGCTAAAATCGTGCAATGTGAACTCGGCAAATAAGAATTTTATTTCACAATTTTTGTTAGCAATTTTTGTGAATAATATTTTTTAAAAATAGTAAATTGCATTAGTTGGCTTATTACAACCTTGTAAGTTAAGAACATACACACTCTTATCTAAGATAAGAATATTTGTTGCCATAATTATGAGCTATAGAAAAATGTTAAAAGCGATGATAACCTTTTTGCTGCTATTCAATAGCTTTGTAGAAATGTTGTCCTCTTTATATGAGAGATATTTCTACATTTAAATGGTTCAGGCCAAGTATTTCAAAGTGCGTAGGACTGTCACAGATATTGAAACCGCTGGTATGTTACATTTTACATGTTACTTTATATGACAATACCTACTAGCCTTTTCTGTATATTTAGGTGTATGTGGATTAATTATTTAATTTTATGTATTGCTCAATGTTGCACTATTATACTTTCTGTGTAAAATGTATATATTTTTTTCTGACTGTTCTCTTTTTCTGAATATGTATGTTCCACCTAATGGCTTTCCAATAACCTCTAAGATGTCTGTCTTTATGGAATGATTAGCTTATTAGTATTGAAAATCTTTTATGAAGATGCAATGGTTACAACATTTTCAAGTGAAAGTTGATGTTTATTGACCATTGAAGTGTTGTGTGTATGTGTGTGTAGTGTTTGCTTCTGTGCTTTTTCTCTTGATAGTCTGTGACTGAATTGTCTCCATGTCTACCTCACTGAAGCAGCTGATATTAAACAGCGATGTTATGACCTGGCTCCTCAGTAACCAAAAAGTTATATTTCAATTACACTGTACATCCTTATTCCTCAGCCAGTCACCAATCAAACTAGAATCAGGATCAGTCAAGGCTCTATGTAAACGTGTTGGAAGCTTATTTGTAATAAAGGACAGAAATAAAGAAAATCTTGCATATGGGTCTTTGCTGGAAATGAGTGTATGGAGTTTCAATTTCAACATATTTGATCTCTCTATAGATCTCCTTGTCATATTTATAATATTAGATGTCGATCTCAGCATACAGTGGCATATATTTAATTTGGAAAAACGATAACTGCTGAACTTCATTAACTTTAAGGGACATATAGTGACATTTTTACATGGCTAATTCTTAAATGACCCTGAATTCTAAATATGTGTAGTTTCAGCCTTGCTGTGACTAAAACTTATTTAGTTATTTTTCTTAATGACCCTAAGTCCAAACCGTAAAAACATTATTTTATTTACCATTGTTAATAAATTTGGAAATCATATTTTTTATAATCACAATAAACAGTTCTCTTTTAAACCATATTTACTTCGACCCTACTACATTTTATGTTTAATTTTTTAGAGTTAAATCTAATAATGGGCTTGCACATATCATTGCACCATGCCACATTATTTGCAGTCAGTATACAGTTTTGCCCACATAACAGAGTTGAACAGTTGATAAGGCCAATATGTGTACAAAAGTGTAAACATTATGAAAAACTGATATAAACTTGAAGAGAAACCTTGGAAAAAAGTGCTCCCTTACAACCCATTATTTTGAAATTGGAAAATTTCACAGCATAACAATGTTATGCTATTGGTAATATTGTTATGCAATGTTATTCTTCAGAAAATGCATAAATCAATAAATTAAGATATAGACATTTAAAAGGATAGCTCACCCAAAAATGATAATTCTGGCATTATCTGGCAGCCCTCATGTTGTTCCAAACCCGTAAGACCTTCGTTCATCTTCGGAACACAAATTAAGATATTTTTGATGAAATCCAAGCGCTTTCTGACCCTCCATAGACACGTTCAAAGCCCAGAAAGATAGTAAGGACATCATCAAAATAGTCCATGTGACATCAGTGGTTCAACCTTAACTTAATGAAGCAACGAAAATACTTTTTTTTTGCAAAGAAAACAAAAATAATGACTTTATTCAACAATTTCTTCTCTGACTGCTCCTGCTTCAGCAGCACCATACGCATGTGCCATGGTACTCTTGTGAACACACATCAAAGACTGACACGGAAGAGAAGAAATTGTTGAATTAAGTCGTTATTTTAGTTTTTTTGCGCACAAAAATATTCTCGTAACTTCATAAAATTACGGTTGAACCACTGATGTCACATGGACTATTTTAACTATGTCCTTACTACCTTTCTGAGCCTTGAACATTTCAGTTGTGTTGCAGTCTATGCAGGGTCAGAAAGCTCTCGGATTTTATCAAATATTTCTTAATTTGTGTTCTGAAGATGAACGAAGGTCTTACGGGTTTGGAACGACATGACGGTGAGTAATTAATGACAGAATTTTCATTTTTGAGTGAACTGTCCCTTTAAGGCATGATTCAGGTCAAATTCTAATTTCCTTCTTTTTTCTTTTGCAGAGTGAAATCTAAACCAATTCATGTAACAAAGTTCAATTAAATCCCATTCATTATATCAACTGTAAGTCATGAGGACACTGTTTCTCGAAGATGATCCTTATATAACACTGGCACACTGGCTTGAAGAAAAAAGAAATAGCATTTGTCGTATGTTATTCTTCACAATGTCCCAGTTCCAATAATCAGAAGGTTATGAAGAAATACTGTTCACGCCTTTGCACTCTCTGATGTGACATTGTCAGAGTGGATGAGATGGAGCAAAACTCTAGAAGCGAGAGCTGCTCACTGGGTTTGTGGATTCAATTACACTGCATTATTGTAAATGTCTTGAAGGCTGACTGTCAAGCCTAAGCATATTCTGCCTCACACATAAGAAGCAAAAACTGTGCCTCCACAAATATCAGCGTCTATCCACCACTGCTATATAACACCATTTGAGTATTTTTTTTATTTATTTATGAGGTTCCTTTTTTAAATTTATATGATTCCAGATTTATAATTATGAATATTTTTAAGAATACCAAAGAATAAAAGCCACAAACACTTGTACTATATCTGCCCTAAAAGCTAAATAAAGTGTAAAATTGAGAGACAGTGGGAGAGTGGGAGACAGAGATAAAAAGGCGCAATAATAATAAAAACAATAAAACCAATACAGACCAGAGATCATTATTTTTAGAAAGTCTGCAATGTGTTGGAAGCAGGGCATTGGAAATTACCATGACAACCATGACAAGCACAGTGAGAGAGTGTGTGGAGTGTTTGTATTTTGAGACTCAAGACAGTAGAAAAGAGTTGTTGAGGACAGGAGTGTGCTGGACTGTGACTTTGGGATCTTTTTAAGCATTGACTGCATTCAGTTCACATATACAGTACTTGTCACAGTGTTCTGGTTTATTATCAATATATAAAATTATTTGCTTGACTCTACAGTATCTTCATGTTATTTGGCTAATTTAAGTGTATATTTATGTTAAAATAGTCTTAGAGTAGAGTAATAGATCACCCAAAAATTATGATTAAAAATTAGGCAGTAATGTGAATGATG